CAGGACTAGCACAAAATACAATTAAACTAAAATTTAATAATAAATACTAGGTCTGGGAGCACATATGCCTATAATTTCAATATTGGAGAGGTAGAAGATGGAAGCTTGTGAGTTTGAGACCCATCTGGGCTACCATGTGTCTCAAAAACACAAACCAAACCAAACTAAAACCTAAGTGTAAACTGGAAAACCAATAATAATTCAGTTTATTAAATTCTACATTCTCCATATGGTTTTTACTATAAAAATCTAATTATAAAAGAAATGAACATCAAATTTAGCTTTATAGCCAATTTGAAAACTAATACAAGTTTTTAAATAACAGATGCTAGTATACAATATCAAGTAATTAACTGAATAGCAAAGATGAATAGTAAAGAAAAATTTTCTAGTTCCATATGTGTTCAGAAAGGAATAATGAACTAAATAGAAGTTCAGGTTTGGGAACATGTCTCAAGTGGTAAAATGCTTAGCAAACTCATGGCCCCCAAGTTCAATCCCATGTAACACACACACACACACACACACACCCCACACACAGTGTTTTGGAAAGTAGGTGGGTTTTAATTCTAAATCAATAGACAAACAAATATTTTATGTTTTTAATAACTTCTGTGATCTTGTGAGGCCGTGGGGGCACTCCTAGCTACTCAGGAGGCTGAGATCTGAGGACTGCAGTACAAAGCCAGCCAGGGCAGGAAAGTCCATGAGACTCTTATCTCCAGTTATCTCCACCAGTAGACTGGAAATGACACTGTGGCTCAAGTGGTAGAGTGCTAGTCTTGAGTTGAAGAGCTCCAGGGACAGCACCCAGGCCAAGTTCAAGCCCGAAAAAGAAATAGAATATGATCTTGAACATTTCATACCAAAGTTAGCTTTTTCAAATTACTTTCAACATGTTGTCATTTCACTTAAGAAATATACAAAATAGAAAACGTAGTTATGACTATTTAACCAAGAAAAGGTGCTGAGACTTGACAAGACCAATTCCATCCCATACACCTAGCTAATATCAGCAGAGACACTAGCACCCATACTTAGACCACAAAAATTTATTCTGTAAAGTCAGCTGGATCTAAGATAGTATCCTAGAACAGTTAAAAATGCATAACAATCCTACAACTTCATTCAAAACCAACTGAATCAGAAGCTGGAGGTGGGACTCAATACCAGGCTGTAACAAACCTTCTAGGTGATAATGCATGATAAAGTTTCAGCATCACTAAATCACTAAATGAGTCATTTAATTCTCTAAGTTTTCCTACACTACTATTAAATTATCCAAAACCAATTTACTGAAACTGACATGTATTTATTTTATGATATAATTTTGTGGCTGTGTTAACAGATGTGAACAGGAGTGTGGATATATATATATATATATATATATAGGTGTATATATATATATATATATATATAAAATTTCTCCTTGAATTTGTGACATTTTTCTTATTAACAACAGACTTAAGTATATTTCTAATAGTTGTAATCATAATGACAGTTGGCACACACATACAATTTTGTATTATCCCATGCATTTTATATACTACTTTATGTGTTTTTCCTACCAGATTTGAGTTGTATTTAAATTTTTTTCTCCTTTCTCTATGAAACCTAGAAAGTTAATGACCTTTAATTTTTGAAATTTTAGCAAGGATTTATTTCAATATAACAGGATAAATCAGGGAGGAGTATGAAAAAGGAGAGAAATGTTTCCTGCTTCCCACACAGGAAATAGATAAAGGCTTTTATTTAATGGCTTTCTAAGAAATTTTAATATTTGGAAGTGGCACTGTGGCTCAAGTGGTAGAGTGCTTGCCTTGAGCTGAAGAGCTGAGGGATGGTGCCCAAACCCAGAGCTCAAGCCTCACAACCGACAAAAAAAAAAAATAATTTTTTTAAATATTCTGTTTCTTACCTGTAGATCTAAGCTTCATAGACCATTTTCCATAGCAAAAAAAAAGTATTATAAACTTTAGAAATTACTTAATTTTTAGCTGGGCGCTGGTGGCTCATGCTTGTAATCCTAGCTACTCAGGAGACTGAGATCTGAGGATCATGGTTCAACCCAGCCCGGGTAGAAAAGTCCGTGAGACTCTGATCTCCAATAAACCACTAGAAAACTGGAAGTGGTGCTGTGGCTCAAGAGGTAGAGTGCTTGCCTTGAGCTGGAGTGCAGGAACAGCACACAGGCCCAGAGTTCAAGCCCCATGACCGACAAAAAAAAATTACTTAATAGTTCCTCTTCTTTATAAACAAGTAATAGCATAAAGATAGTGGCAAATGGGAGAAAGTAGAAGAATCAATTACCTTCTCGGTCTTTGTTGCTCTTCTGGTTAGCTTTCCACTCATCTTTTTAAAAATTTTACTCACCTAGAAAGAATAGTGATATCTGAAACCTTGGGAATCATTTCTAAGCTAGAAAAAAAATAACACATATCTTAACTTTCAGTTGAGATTAACCAATATTTTACTTTCTTTCAGAGAAATCTTCTTTGGACCAAAGATATCTTTTGTGATCCCTTGCAACAATCATTGAGAATCTTCATGTGTTCTGGAGAACATCATTCCTCATTCTTACATCAATGTAAATGTACTTCTGATTTCTATCCAGTGCAATAAAGCATTAATTCTATAAAGTCTTTGTTAACTCATCATGACCACCAGATAGTTTTAGAGTCTTTATGTTAGGAAAATATAATATATGCTTGCTAAGCGCTAACCATTATTAAGATTTTTTGGATACAGTAATAAGACATGTCCTCTCTGAACTTGTGTTCTAATGAGCTATAATCATTTTAAACAAAGTTGTTAAATGTGAAGCCCATTACTGAGAAGTATAGGTATGAAGGATTGTGGAGAAAATTAGAGAAACATTCACCATGTGGCACATCTAGGAGACACCATTTTGTGACAAAAAAATAACACTATCCCATTAAAATACAATCTTAGATGTCCCTGATCTGTTTCTGGAGACCTCAACTACAGTATTATCTGGTATCGATTCAGTGTTCAAATAGGGTTCAAAGAATGTTATTGCACTGGATCAAACAATTTTTTGGCAATCGCATTCAGTTGCTCCTAATGTCTATATAAATTATTTTGAAATTCTCTGATCTCTACAAAAATCAAGAAAAAGGGAATTATTAAAAAATTTTTTCTTCAAGGTAGCATGGTATTTGATTGTTCTGTCTTCACTGAATTGAATGGTAATAAAGTCAAATTTAATCCATAAAGGAAGTTTCAGATCCTTTCTAGAACAATATATAGGATAGTTAAGAAACTCATCAATAAATGTGTTTCTTTACTGAGGAGAAAGCTGTCAATTGTCTCTATAAACAACACATCAGAAGAAAGGACATGTAAGCCAGCAATGGTGTTTTAGAAAGTATTCCCTTACAATGGCATTCACAACCTGAGGAAAAATTGCTGTAAAAAAACTAAACATTAAATAGAATTTTATAAATTATAGATTGCTTTTCATCATATACTTTGCTTTTTGGAAATAACCAAAATACAAAAAATTATATATATATGTATTTTTTTCTTTTTTGTTGTGAAAATACTGTAGAGGGGTTACAATTACATGGGCAAGATGAGTACTTTTCTTATCAAGCATTGTTGCCTCTTCCTTTGTTTCCCCTTCACACCCCTTTCCATTCCCCCGCCCTGTTCTCCTACACCCCCCCCCCTCCTTTTTTTTTAACCTGTCCTAGGCTTGAACTCTGGGCCTAGAAACTGTCCCTGACCTTTCGTGCTCAAGGCTCCACTTCCAGCTTTTTGAGATTAATTGGAGATAAGAATCTCAGGGATTTTCCTCCCCAGACTGGCTTCCAACTGTGATCCTAATTTCAGCCTCCTGAATAGTTAGGATTACAGGTGTGAGCCACCAAAGCCTGCCTGAAATTATATATTTTTTTAATAAAGGAATGCAATATAAAAGAACACATTCTCTGTGATACCAAATGAATGTAAAAATATAAATGTTCACATAATGTACTTTATGTAACTTTTTCTGACTTGGTCAACACATTTTAAAACCAAACATTTCATTCAATTAGTGAGAATATTTTTACAATAGATGTTTGTTTTAAAAATACAACCGAAGTTTTTACGCAACTGCCTACGATTGCATAATTAAGAGTTAAAAAACAAATAAAAAGGAAAAAAGCAGATACATGTTGAAATTTCAGTGAACCTTGAAAACCTGCTAAGTAAAAGCTACATATAAAATATAGTGAATGATCCCCTTTATTTGATATTATCCATTTTAAAAAAGAATGGATAAAAAACATGGAATAAAAAGCAGATTAGAAGTTTCCAGGGCATGGGGTAGGAAGAGGAAGCAATGGATGTGATGATGTATGCCTATTAAGACAAAATTAGAAGAATGACTAATTCTAGATTCTTACTTCAACTTTCAGAACTGTGCTTATCTTTGCTGGCATATTTTTCTCTTTGGAAAAAAAGTGGCCATACAAACTAAATTATTTGTTCTTTCTATACTTTATTATGTAATAATTAGAAAAGGAAATAAAAGTATGCTTTTCAGTGATGTCTTTTAGATTTTCTAACAAGGAAAGCACTTTAATAATGTCATTCTGATAACCTTAATTTCAAGTCCAATTGTCACAAAGGTAGGGAATCTTTTTTCTGCCAAAGTCCATTGGATAGTTATTTATAATGCCATCTGAGGGCCATGCAAAATTATCAATACAGGAAGATGGTCAAGAGTAGCTGAAGTGTATGTACCGTTCCATCATGCACCAAGTGATTATAAGAGGACCTGTTACAGTAGTAAGGGACCATGTCCCCCAACCCTGTGAGAAAGCAAATGGGTTGCAGCTATTTCTTCTCTAAACCAGTTCATTTCTTGTAATTTAACAAAAAAGGTTACAAAATGAAGCATCTTTATAGAAAATCTTATTAATACTGATTGATCCCTACAAGTCAGTGGAAAAGAAAATGCAAGTTTCACAAAATAAATACACAGAAACAACTATAATAGTAATAACGTTTATTTAAAATATTTTTAATCTAGGAAACTCATCTTACACGAGTTTCCAACTAATTATTAGTTAGAAACAAAGAAAATAAAACCAGAGAAAAGCCTCTGTAGAAAAAATACACAAGGGACATTTCTACATGTGAAAAAACAGTAAACATTCTTAACATCTGAACATCCAAGTATTAGTCTGAATGCCATGACTCCTAGTGGACACCACTATCAACCTTGAGATCTGACTTGTTCTTGTCATTCTTCACTGAGTAGATGAAATATGTTAAGGTGTCTTTTTCATTCACTGGAATAGACCTAAAGTGGCAACCCACTATCTATAAAGAAAAAGAAATTGAGAAAAGATAATTATTTCATCGAAAGAGCTATGAAATAAGAAAAACCATTAAAAAAATTAAATTATATTTCACAAAAAACCAACAAGGCCAAAAATACATAAAAGTAAGGTGAACAAAAGGCATTCTGATTCCAAAGTACACTTTGGTTCACTTTAAATGTGTAGTGATCAGATACATTTTTCCTTTGAAGTTCTATAATTAGCCTTTAGATTAGAAAGCAAATATGTAACTTTTTAACATTTAACTTTCAACACTAATGCAATAAAATATTAGCATCTATAGGCATCATACTAGAGATGATTCAGACACGCATATCTAGATTCTAGAAAATTTCTTACTTTTAAAACAGAATTAGTTCTGGAAGAACTTTTTAATGTCAGCTTATCAAAAATTTGAGGTTTATGTTAGTCAAGTTAAACACACTTAAATGAAGCATATTAAATAATCAGTTTCTTGGTTCTCATTTGTGGTAGAACAAAGGTGACTTCATTCTATCAGTCCATATATTTCATCACAGTAAGTAAGGAACATAGATTTATGAGTTGCACAGACATACAAGACTAGATGTTCTATTATGTTATTTTTTCAATTTGACTGTAGTGTACATACGTAAGTCTATGTTTTAATAAGATGGAGATTTTTTCTGTTCTATTAGCTACCCCCCCTCACTTAAAAAAATGCTTGTATCTCTGGTAAAACTAACAAGGACAAACTCCTAAACTTAAATAACCAAGTTGTAGACCTATTCCACATTAAAACTGAAATTCTAATAAAAACCTTCAGTTTATCGACACTTAATAACTATTTACTGCTTAAATGGAAATTTGGATTTAAAAATTCTTATTTAATATTTTGAAAGCCATTATTAGAAGATGCTATACACAAGCCAGACGTACATGGCTCACACTGATAATCCTAGCTATTCAGGAGGCTGAGATCCAGAGATTGGCAAATAGAGGACAGTCAAGACAGAAAAGTCTTCTAGACTCCATTTCCAAAATAATCAGCAGATACTAGCCTGCTATTATAGCTCCAGTGGTAAATCTCCAGCCAAGCAAGTTAGCCACACAAGTGCAAGGCTCTGAGTTTAAACACAGTGCATGCAAAAAAGAAAAGGCAAAGAAAAAAAGTGCAAACTTGCTATACACTATGTATAATCTATTGAGTAATCATTAAATAAAAGGGCTGGGAAGGTGGCTCAGTGGTAGAGCGCTTGCCTTGCATGCCTGAGGCCCTGGGTTCGATTCCTCAGCACCACATAAGCAAAAAGAAAAAAGTCGGAAGTGGTGCTGTGGCTCAAGTGGTAGAGCGCTAGCCTTGAGCTGAAGAGCTGAGGGACAGCGCCCAGGCCCAGAGTTCAGGCCCCACAACCGGACCCCCCCCCCCCCCAAAAAAAAAAAAAGAAGAAGAAACAATTAGATTCTTCCCTGATTCTTCCTTATTAAGGTTGACCTTTCTAACTAAAATACATCATTACAAAACACAGTATTAATAATTCCTTTTGATAAATAATGACCTCTTATTTGTGTGAACAGGTGTTCTTAAAATTTAAATAGTTGGAAACTTATATATACCTCAACAAGCTGTGCTTTATTAAGTCCTGGCCTGGTTGGTAGTTTGAAGTGTCTTTTATATCTCCTAAGTGTATTTACTTGTAATTGGTACAAATCGACCTAGAAAAAAAATTAATACACATAAATTAGCTCATACAAATTTGTGACTGGTAATGTATAGCAACAAGAATTTCAACCTCAGTGCAAAAATAAGAATCCCATTGTTAAAGAGTTTTTGGGTTTTTTTGTCGGTTGGGGGCTTGAACTCTAGGCTTGGGCGCTGTCCTTCAGCTCTTCAGCTCAAGGCGAGTGCTCTACAGCTTGAGCCACAGTGCCACTTCCGGTTTATTGGAGATAAGTCTCACAGATTTTGCTGCCTGGGCTGGCTGTGAACTGTGATCCTCAAGATCTCAGCCTACTAAGTATCTAGGATTACAGGTGTGAGCCATCAGTGCTCGGCTGTTAAAGAGCTTTTTATATAATCAATCTTTATGTTATTTAACAGTTTAATCTTTTGAGGACAAATGCAAACATCTGAGAACAAAGAAGAGGAAATTATATGGTAACAAAGCTCTACGAATTGTCAATGCAAATTGTGTTAAGATACATCAATGGAATATACTTAATGCTGCATGGAATAGGTAGGGGGATTGAGGTCAGTGGCCAGCCAGACCATTCTGAAAAAGAACTAAAGCAAAAATGGCTGAAGGCCTGTCAAGCAGGAGAGCACTTGCCTACTCAGTGCAAAGCCCTGAATCGGAAAATTCAGAGTCCCCTATACTTCTGGGGAAAAAATAACCAAAACAAAACAAAACAAAACAAAATAAACTTCCAATCTTTTTTCTTCTTGTTGTTTGCTACTAGGGTTTGAACTCAGGGTCTTGTACATGTTAGGCGGGTGTTCTAGCACTTAAATCAGGCTCCCAGACCTCTTTGCTTTTAGTTATTTTTTAATAGGATCTCAAACTTATGCCAATACTAGGCTGGACTGACATCCTTCATCTACTCTTTTGCCACAGGAGTAGGGATGACAGTCATGCACCAGCAAGATGAAGATCTTGACAACTTTTTGTCAGGCTAGCTTTGAACTACAATTCTATGGATCGCTACTTCCTGAATTACCCAGATGAGAGGAATGAGCCACCACTCTTGTATTTTCATTTTACCTGAGTGAGCGCTTGTTCAAATCTTTGTATACAAGTTTCAGAATGGAATACTTCTGTTTACATTTAACAAACAAAGACTTCCATCTACCTCTGGTGTATCAATATCTTGCACAGGCGAGTCACCTCCATCATCATCACTCCCTTTTCTCTTTCTTCTGTTTCGAACACTCTGAATCAAGTTTTTATGATAATCACAAATGTAAAGATGCCTTGCCTGAAACAGAAGAATTCCACAGACTGCTTAAAATTAAGGACTACATCTACCAATAGTAAACTGCAGAGGCTATGTGGACTTACTACAAATACAGGCAAAGTAGGCACTTAAGACAATGACATGGCCTTTCTATTAAAACATGTCTGGCAATGGTATTAGGATGCGGAGTGGAAGGTAGAAGAGAGAGGGTGATCCCAGGTGGGGAGTGAAAGGAGGAAGAGAAGAATGAGAAATTCCAGAAATTCCAGTCCTCTGGGGTTTTCCACCAAACTTTAGTTGAAGGTGAGCTGAAGTTAGTTCATGTTGGATTTTGACCAGTCAAGGACAAAGATAATGTTGCTATTTGGCTTTTCTTCTACTTAAAGACCAGTAGACTTTTTACAACTGAATACTCAAATCATATCTCAAATATAAACTAAACTTTTTTGGGGGGTGGGCTGGAGGGGTCTGGCCGTGGGGCTTGAACTCTGGCCTGGGTACTATCCCTGAGCTGTTTGACCGCTTTGAGTCACAGCGCCACTTCCGGTTTTCTGGTGCTTAATTGGAGATAAAAGTCTCCCGGATTTCCTGCTCTGGTTTGAACCGCCATCCTCAGATCTCAGCCTCCTGAGTAGCTAGGATTACAGGCATGAGCCATGGGCGCCCGACTTACACTAACAACTTTTACAACTGAGCTGCTGGATTTATACCCAGCCTATAGTTTTACAGTTCCATCACTAATTCTCTCTGAGAATGAACTTATCCGTTAGGTGTTGTTTCCAATGAAAACAGCTGAAACGACGTTCACCTGAACAGCTTTCTCACAAACCCTCCCGAAGAAGTGTTGACATTGCGAGAAAGTTATCACAGGGAAACTTTTCAGAAACTTTACACATTTACGTGCTAGGGACCAAGTGAAAAGCTAGGTTGTGTCACCCGTTATTTATTCCTCTTCCAAAGCGAACCTCATCGAGGGTGGGAGGCTCAGGCGTGCGTGCAAATGGATGGAGGAAGAAACTCGCGAGGGCTGCCCAGTCGTCTGCAAATCCCCGCAGAGGCTCAGGGGCCCCGCCCGCTCCCCGCAGCTGCCCCAAGTGCTGACCCCGCAACGCCGTTGGCACCCCGGAGCCCCCCTCTCCTACCCCCCCCCCCGCACCCCGCCCTCCCGGGCCAAGGCGGCCGGGAAGCCCGGCTCCGCTCTCGGGCGGGCTGGGGAGAAAAGCCCAGAAACCTTCCGGACTGCGGTGCTAGGGGCCGGCGTGGACTCCACCGGCCCCAGGCCGGAGGAACTCGGGATCCCGGGGGCCCAGCGCGAGCTCGGGCGGCCACACAAAGGGGCCTCCGTTCCAGGAGGGGCCGCGGGGCTGCGGGACGACGACTCGGCGCCCCCGGTGCGGCGGTCGCCCTTTGTCTGGTCCCTCGATCGGCGCCCGGGAGGGAGAGGGGCGGGGGGCGGGGGGGGGGGCGTCCCGGGCACCGCGGCGGCGGAGGCCGGAGCCGCAGCGACGCCGTGGCTCGCGCCCCCTCGGAGCCCACGCGCGGGGCAAGACTCGAACCCCCGACCGCCCGGCGTCACTTACGCTCTTGTCCAGCTCGATCTTCACCTTCTTCTGGGAGATGCTCTTCTGGATCCGCTTGCTGAAGCTGGCGTTGCCCGCCGCCCGCCCGCAGCGGTCGCCGTCCTCCCTCAGACAGCAGAGCTGCCCGGGGCCCGGCCCGGCCGCCCCCGGGGCCCCGGCCGCCGCGCCTGCCCCGCCGCTGGGCACCTCCGGCCCGGCGCCGGCCGCGGTCCCGCTCCCGTTCCCGGCCGAGGCGGCGGCCGCGGCGGCGGCGGCAGCGGCGGCGGCGGCGGCGGCGGCCACCACGGCGGCTACGGCGGCGGCCGCGTCCCCGCCGCGGCTCATCTCCTCCGGCGTGAAGCCGTTCATGTCTCCGTGCTCAGGGGCGCCGGAGCCGACGGACACCCCCGCCGCCCCGCCGCCCTCGGCCAGGGCTCCCGGGCACCGCTCCCCGGCGGGGGCGGCGGCGAGTCGCTCTGCACCCCTAGGTCCGACGGCAGCACGGCCCGACCCCAAGCGTCCCTGTCGTCCCCGACCTGCGGGTCTCTGTCGACACCGAGGCAGTGGGCAGTGCTGGCGGCTGGCACCGAGCGGCGGGCGGCGAGAGGCGCCGGGAGAGGACGAGGGCGCCCGCTCGCTGTCACATGGAGACTTCAGCAGTTGGACCGCAGCGCGTCCGCCACCCTCCAGCCCTGGGACCTGCGCAGGCACGACGCACCTCCTCTCGCCCCGCCCTCCTCCGCCGCGAGGCAGCACGGGAAGTGTAGTTCTCTGTGGGAGGTGGGACCCAGCTTCGCTCGGTGCTGAGCCCGAGACTCGCGGGAAGGAGAACTACTCATCCCAGCATGCATCGGACGGCCAGGTTGCTTGTTTTTTTGTGTTTTTTTTTTCTTTTAAAGCACTGGGGCGAACTAGAATGTGAGGTTGGGGTTTCCTCTTGGCCTGTCTGCGGGAAGGTGGGCTGTTTGTATTTTGTTTTGCAGCTGTGGTTATTTCACGGAATGGCTCTGACGTCTCTAGGAGAGGCATGGATTGTGTGTGTGCGTGTGCGTGTGGTGGCGCGGCGGGAGGTTTGTGGAATAAAAGTTTCAGGGCCGTTTCGCACTTGTGAGGGGAAAAAGTTTGTTTGTGGTGTGGGAGCGTCGGGCGATTCTTCCGGCCCCGAGGCACGGCAGCTCCCCCTCGGCGGGCCCAGCAGCGCGGCTTGGGGAAACGCCCATCCCGCCTTCCCGCCGCCGCGCCGCGGGGCCGGCCGCCACTCCGTTTCTCCCCTCCAGGATCTGGGGAGGGCGGGGTTTGATGTTTACCCCGGGAGCCCCGCCAGCCAACCCCGAGTGCGTTCCCGGGCTCCTAGGGAAACTTGCAGCTCCACGGGGTGCCGAGCGGGAGGCGCGGCGCCCTTCCTGAGTCGCGCACACGCCCGTGCGTGCGAGGTTGCGGGGGAGGGGGGCGCGTGTGTACGTGTGTGCGCCCGCGTCGGCGTGTGTGCGTGCGCCGGGGGGCGGCGGCCGGTGGGACCCCAGAGCCCGCACCTCCCCGGCGGAGCGTGCGGGCGGCGCCGGTGTCCGAGTTCTTTTAGGTGAGGTAGATGTAGCGATAGCCTTTTAAAAATGCGTTTGCCGTGCGGCCCACGCGGAACCCACGCCCACCCGGTCACCGGCGCGTTTCAGCCCCGGACGGGGGAACGCCGGGCGGCGATCTAGTCCGCGCTCAGACGTCCTGGCCGTGGAGACTCCGCGTCGGTCTTTGTTTTCTGCCCACCCCGCTCCCGGGGATGCAGCTTTCCTCCGGTGTCCCGGCCGGCCGCCGGTGCTGTTTAGTTCTAATTATGCGTCTCCTTCCCTCATCTGTGGATGGTTTCTTGTATCCCGTGTTCTAGTCGGAAACGGTTTCAAAGCCACCCCAAGTCCCCCTAGGGCTTGTACTTTGTAGTTTTTAGTGTTATAATTCTTATATGGTTCTGTTTTCAAAAAGAAAAAATAAAAAAGCTTTGTGGAGTCCTGGGACGCCTTGAGTTCAGGGCGCTCTTCTTGGGCTTTTTTGGAGCCACAGCGTCACTTTCCTGCCTGGGCTGGCTTCGAACTGTGGAGTGCTGATCCTCAGGTCTCAAGATTACAGGCATGAGCTACCAGTGCTGGACCTTTAAAAAACTCTTATTTTAAAAAAAAGTTTGCAGGACTGCGTTGCTGGGCGGCCGAGCACACTACTGGGCCCAGGTGGGAGCTTCCCTCACACTCTGTCCTGCCTTGGGGGTGCTGGAGTCTCTTGAGTTTCTCCAAACACCGACCCTCTGATTAGGACCCCCAAGTAGCTAGAATTACAGGCTTGAATCACTGCACGCAGCTTTAGTAGGTTATTTTTGTTTGGTGCCAGTCCTGGGGCTCTGCCCCTGATCATTTGTGCTCAAGGCTAGTGTTCTACCATTTGAAGCTCTGGTCCACTTTTGGCTTTTTTCTTTTTTTTTGGTGGTTAATTAGAGATGAGTGTTTACCATCCCCAGTGGCAAAGAACCTGGATGTTCTTGATCTCAGACTCCTAAGTAGTTTAGGAGTATAGGTGTGGGCCACTGGTGTTCAGCTCGACTAGTACTGTATATCTTAAAGAACATTGGCACTCTGATAGTATTCATGGTCTAATATTTTGCTCATCTTGTCATGATTTTGTTCACGGTGTGAAGCATTTTTAAAAAAAGCAGATGTAGTTTTACATAATGTTGGAACCTGCTCTAGGCACAAAATAATTCGTGCATGATTAAATAATGCTTTTGGTCCTCAAAAAGAAATTGTACATAGCATAAAATCCCAGGACCAAACCAAGAATTCTTGGGACATTTCTTCTAACTGGATTGGATGAAATCCTCTTAAACCTTTCTGTCCAGAGTTTCAATTGCCTAGGTTGCCTGGGTTCATTATTAGTAGACCAAAATAAAATGAGGCTTTACACTGTGGTTCTTCCATTTCATTTTTAATCTTAAGTATGTTACAAATACTTTTCTATATAATCTACTTTTGGGTATTCCAGAGATAGCCTACTGTCATGGGTGTGAATGTTTTTTATAATTAACTGGTCTCCAGTGCAGTGTTTGGTGGCACCTTTAAGAGGTGGAGCCTAGTGTGAGGTCACTGGGGGAGTTGCCATGGGAGTCAGTTCTGCCAGTTAAGTTCTTATAAAAACCATAACACTGGCTGTTCTCTTGCTTCCTTTCTTACTGTGGAATGGCTCCTGCCATTGTACTGCGATCAGGTTCTCACCAGAGCAGAGCGATGCTTATGCCATGCTCTTGACCCTCCAGACTGTAGCCAAATCACTCTTCGTAAAGTACTCAGCCTTAAGTATTTCAGTACAGCAACAGAAAATGTGCTCCTACAGAAAATATTTTTTGAGGAGTCTGATCTGGAACTGGGTGATGAGCAGAGGCTGGAAGAGTTTGACAGTGTAGCCAGAAAAAGCCTGGAGTACTAATAGTAGTAGTACAGGGGATTCTGACAGGTCAAGACAAGTCGCTGGGTCCAGGCCCTCTGGGATTTTAGGAAGTCCTAATTGCAGATGATGGGCTAATTTATTTGACAAAGAACATTTCAAAGCAGGAAAGCATACCATTCCTCTTAACAGCCTAGGCATTATTGCTTAGATTTAGTCAGATTTAGAGTTTGGAAGAAATGGGAAAAGAACGGAAAGATGTGGAACATTTACAGTCTGACTAGGAAGGAGTCACGAAGCTTCTAACAGTGCTGGCTCAAAGTATCACCGTGGATAAAAGAAGGCAGCTTTTGGTACAGGACAATGAGGAAGAGGTACAGAGGACATCTGAGAGGATATATTTAAAAAATCACCTTATTCATATGCCTTCTAAGGTAGAAATTATTTCAGGGAAGGACCCAAGTGCTCACTGCCCAGTGCCTCCTGGGATTCTGGCTTTCTGGTGAAGTACAGTCAGTGTAGCCATGGTTCAAAGCAGGTCCAGGAACTGGCTGCTCTTGCCAGCAGCAGGCCTACCTTGTGCCCAACAGATGCTGGTTCTACAGGAATAAAGAATGTAAGTTATGGGATCTGGGCAGTTCCAAAGGAATCCTGGGATGCTTGGCGTAAGTTTCCACCTGGTCAGACCCCTGCAGAGATTGTCCACAAGAAAGGGAGAGGAATTAGCATCCAGCTACACCCACTGAGAAAGTGCAGACATTATTAGCATGCCATTGCAGTCAGCAACCAAGTTTCACCTTTGGTCAAAATGGAATGCAGAAATATTAGAATTAAAAGTGGCTAGTTTTCTGAGAAGTTGCTATCTCCAAATAATATACTCCAGTAATAAAATGACTTGTTTTGGGGTTGCTGTACAAAAAAAGAAATGCTATTTTAAAAGATCCTCACACGGTGGGTCACATCTGTAATCTGCCTAGTAGAGATTGGAATACCATGGTTCAAGACAAAAGGTTATGGAGACTTCCTCCCCATCTCAGCAACCAAAAAGTGGGGACAGCAGGGTACTGGTGTAACCCTACTAGCATGTAAGCCATGCCAGTAACCCTAGCTACTCAGGAGATTGAGATCTGAGGATCATGGTTCCAAGTCAGTTTGGGCAGCAAAGTCCAAGAGACACTCTATCTCCAATTAAATACGAAAAGCCAGAAGTGGGCTGTGGTTCAAGTGGACATCTCCTAGGCCCCAGATCTCAAGCCCCAGGACTGGCACCAAAAAAAAAAAAAAAGGTGAATGGTTATTAGGTAGGCAAGAGATTTCTTTACATTTATCTAGATTTTATGAAAAATGTTTCACAAAGGAACAGGACCATGATACTTTAAATTGTTCAGATGAAAAATTCAGATGTTAGCAAAGTTATTTCTCTTAATGGTAACTTAATACCAACTGTAGAAAAATAGTATGTTCAGATATTAAAAATTCATCCAATAAATATTTGAATCTCTGACATACTCATAATATATAACACTGTAGTGGGCTGTATGAAAGAGATAAAAATATTTTCAGAATTAAAAAAAAAAACCCTCAAGACTTCATATTAAATTCCTACTTTATAAAGTTTCTTTGCAGGCATTATTTCCTCTGAATTTCCTAACTTTATTCATTAGGCAGAGGACCTTTCGATCTGATATTGAGTAGCAGACCTTGTTGATTCTTGCTCATGTCTTTCTGGCATTTGCTACTTACTTCAATATTCATTTTTCTACCTAAAAGCTTTTTCCTAACCTGAAGAAGGCAGTTCTGTGTTTGTGTGGTCAGGGAAAATTGGCAAATCCTAAGAACAGCTTCCCAAGCTAGCTGCACTTACTTGATGAAGGATTTATTCTATACCCCAGTTCTTTCCCGTCCACGGATAGGCTAACTTGGGGCCCTCTTTCTCACCATTTCTGAGTTTTCCCATGGGACTAGACTATGCTCCAGTAATTAGTAATGGTGGCTGGCTTGATACTACACCCTTTATTGACTGCCTTCCTTTCTTTGTCCTACTTCCCTACCTTCCAGTTTCCTGCATCCCTCAGATAATCTACTGGCACTAAAACCAGTATGCATGGTTCTTACTAGGCATTTCAACTACGTTATTTCTCCTTAATACTTGTCCCTCAGCTAAAATGCTTATTTCTGTGAGCAAGCACATGATTCAAATCAGATGAAATCCTCCCCAGGGAATTTTGCCCAACCTGAAATGGAGAGAAACTTCATTTTGATGTTGTTTGTGCATTGT